CGAAAGTCCATTTGTTTGTTTCACGCAAAAGCTACTTAACCGATCATCATGAAACTTTGTACACATACTCTTGGAGGTGTCAGAATGAACATAGGATACTTTTTATTAAAAAATATATAAATTGTTTACGGATTGTTAAAAAAATTATTTTGAATTTAAAAACGTAAGAAAACTAAAATGCATCAAAAACATAAATCAGAGAAATACCATTACACTATATTACCGACAGCCACGTCAACATCCAACCCAATTTACTAAACTACGGAGACTAAACACTATACTTGTACATTTATAGATTGTATCTTCAGCTATTTTGAATTTTTCTTCATTGTTATTTCTTCTGTCAATATATGTGTATGGATGCCAATTAAATATTTTAGAATAATTGTTACTCTTATCTTCTTTAAAAATGCCTCGAAGGTGGAAATCTGCGCTATCAAAAAATTCTTCGTCGGGCCGTAAAGCTAAAGTTGCACGAAATCAAGAATCTGAAGTTCACGCAGAGCTGAGAAGACAACAGCAAGCAGAGCGACAACGTGTTTTGAGAGCAGCTGAAACTTCTCTTCAGAAACAAGTTCGTTCAGAAAGACAAGCTATGCAGCTGGAAGAGCGACGGAAACGCCAGAACAATTGCAGGCAAGAAGAATTCATGATGCAGAAGTAAGGACCACGCGTCGTCGAAATTTCATGACTAAGGATTGGTCTGTTTTTAATAGTACTGGTTTTCAATATGATCCTTTAGTTGAGTATTCTAATCATCCCTTAATTGTTATTGGCTCAATAGATCAAAAATGTCAGTATTGTGATGCTTTTAAATGGAAAGATGAAACTGGTGGAATGTACTGTAGCACTCGTAAAGTTTTACTTCCATTACTTGGTGAATCAGAAGAACCTTTAAAAACTTGATTGTTTAGTGTCACAGATGAGTCAAAACGATTTTTAAGTAAAATAAGGAAGTATAACTTTTGCTTTAAAATGACATCCTTTGGAGTTGATAAAGTGATAAGAATGCCTTAATTTTCACCAACCTTTCCTGTACAAGGACAGATATATCATCGAATTGGATCACTATTTCCAGGAAATAATGAGCAGCATAAATTTTTGCAGGTGTATTTTATGGGTGATGAACAAAATGAAGTAAATCGTCGTTGCCAGTATATTGGTGAAGTATAAGGAGAAACATTTTTAAAAATTCAACGAATGTTACACAGTCACAATGATTTGGTGAAGATTTTTAAAAGTGCAATAGACAACTGGTCTTCAGATATTTACAAAGTTGTCATTCATGCTGATCGAACTCCATGTGGTGAACATGAGAGGCGTTATAATGCACCGATGGTCAATGTAGTTGCTGTTTTGGTTACTGGTGACCCGTGCTCTCTTCGAGACAAAGTGTTACGAGCACATGATAATGCGTTAAAGCGCGAACCTGATACTCATAAATTTTATGATGCTTTGCAGTGTCTATTAATTTTCAGTAAAGGTGAATCAGGATATCATTTCAATATTTCAGTCATCAATCCGACAACGAACGAGCCAACTCCAAATAAAAAAGTTTCCTGTATGGACTTTTATGCGTTTTACATGATGCATTGACTTCAATCTTCTTCTGCGTACAAGGCAACTCTTCAATCAATTGTTAGTAGATATGTATATGAAGATTGTTCGCGTCTAGTGCCATATGAACTCCATTGAATGGCAAAAACGAGGTCTACCACATGTGCACATATTGATTTGGTTAAAAAAGAAGCTACTTCCTAATCAAATCGACAACATAATTAGCGCTTTAAATTCGAGATACAGAAGAAGATAAACATTTGTTCGACGCGGTTATTAAAAACATGATCCACGGTCCCTGTGGAACTCGAATCCCTGCATCACCTTGCATGAATGATGGCAAGTGTACAAAAAAATATCCTTTTAGAGAAACAGTTTACAGTGGTAAGGGTTACCCGTTATATAGACGAAGGGCGCCTGCTGATGGTGGTAAACATGTTAACATTCGGACTCGCAGTGGGGAAATCAAGAGTTTTGATAACAGCTGGGTTGTGCCCTATTCGCCAATTTTGTGTAAAATTTCCAACGCACACATAAATGTTGAAGCCTGTAATTCTGTACGTGCGATGAAGTATATTTGAAGTATATCAATAAAGGAAGTGATCAGGCAATCTTTAATTTGCATAATAAAGATGCTGTGCAGGTCCCCAATGAAATACAAAGCAGGAAGATATGTCAGTAGCAACGAAGCGGCATGGCGGCTTCTTGGCTTTCCACTGCATGAAAGATATCCTATTGTTACACATCTTGCAGTACATTTAGAAAACGGACATCGTGTTTTTTTTAATGACAATACTTTTAAAGACAGAATTTTCTCCCCCTGAGACCACACTGACTGCGTTTTTCGAGCTTTGTCAGAATGATACTTTTGCAAAGACATTATTGTACTCTGAGGTCCCCCGTTATTTTAGATGGAACGCCTCAAAAAAACAATGGCAACGTCGCATTCAAGGTACACATGTAGAAAATCAACCTGGGGTTAAAGCATCAGATGCTCTTGGTCGTGTCTATACCGTGCAAGTTACAAATTTCGAATGTTTTTCTCTGCGTATGTTATTGCATCATGTTAGAGGTTCAACTAGCTTTGCAGAACTTAAAATTGTTAATTGTCAGAGATGTCAAACATACAGAGAAACAAAATGATAATCATTAGGATGAAACTATGGAGGAAGTCGTACAATATCGATCACCAGATAGAATAAGGGAACTTTACGCTACACTTTTATCTTCTTGCGGTCTTTCTAACCCTCAAACTCTTTGGGATAAATACAAAGAATACATGGCTGAAGATATTTTACATCAACTTCAGCAAGTACATACAGATATGACTTTCAATGAACATATTTACAACCAAACGCTAATTCTAATTGAAAACAAGGTTTTTCATAATGGTTGGAAAAAAATTAGATGATTTTGGAATGCAAAGTCCTCGAAGAGATAATGAGGATGATTTTAACATTGAAATTGCTCGAGAGCTAGATTATGATTTCATAGCACTGCAGCAACAAGTGGAAGAATTAATCCCTGTGTTACTTCCAGAGCAAGCTCATGTTTTCCGTCAAGTTTTACATAGAATAGAATCCGGCAAAGGTGGAGTCTTCTTTCTCGATGCACCAGGAGGAACCGTAAAAACGTTTTTGCTCAACTTATTATTAATGTACATATGAAAAAACAGACAAATAGCAGTTGCAGTAACTTCTTCGGGTATTGCTGTTTTGAAATTACCATTAAATCTTGCGCAGGAAGATTCACCCATCTGTAATTTCAGTAAAAATAGTTCTCGAGGTAGGATGCTGCGAGAATGTAAGCTTTTAGTTTGGGATGAATGTACAATGTCTCACATGAAGGCTATAGAAGCTTTAAACCGAACTCGTCAGGACCTGCGAGATAGTACGGATATAATGGGAGGGTTGGTAGTTTTACTGGATGGTGATTTTCGCCAAACTCTTCCGGTTATTCAGAGGGGAACACCAGCAAATGAAATTCAAGCATGCTTAAAATCATCAAGCCTATGGTCGAGAGTTGAAAAACTCAGTCTCAAAACGAATATGAGCGTGCATCTTCATAATGACGTGGATTCGGGACTTTATGCTGAAATGTTATTGAAAATTGGAGATGGTTGTTTAGATATTGATGCTGAAGGTTATGTATCACTTTCAAGAGAATTTTGTAGTTTAGTAGCAAATGATGTGGATCTCATTGCCTATGTTTTTCCCGAATTGCAACAAAATTTGAGTAGGGATCAGTGGTTGTGCGCAAGAGCAATATTAGCAACAAAAAATGAAATTGTTAATAGAATCAACAATGACATTTTAAAAGAGGTGGAAGGGGAAATTATGGAATATTTTTCAATGGATACAATTATGGATACAGAATTAAGTACCTCATATCCTGTGGAGTTTTTAAATTCCTTTCAACTGTCGGGTGTACCATCTCATAAGCTTAAATTAAAACTAAATGTACCAGTAATGCTTATGCGAAATTTAAATGCTCCTCTGCTATGTAATGGAACACGACTTCGGATAACGAAATTGGGACAGAACATACTTGGCGCTACTATTTTAACTGGTGTTGGTAAAGGAAAAAGTGTGATCATACCTCGGATTCCAATTAATCCCACTGACCATTCCATTCCATTTTAAAAAAGTTCAGTTTCCCGTCAAGCTTACCTTTGCCGTAACTATAAACAAAGCACAAGGACAAACATTACAGGTGGCAGCCGTGCATTTAGAAAAGTCGTGCTTTTCTCATGGTGAACTATATGTAGCCTGCTGGCGTGTATCTAATGCCAAGAATTTCCACATATTTGCACACAACGGAAAAACGTATAATATAGTTTATAAAAATATCCCTGATTAATCATCTATATTGCTTATTTTTAATTGTTACATTTCAAAATTATTTTTTTTCTTTATAGTGAAATATATTTTAATCTTTGTTGTATTGCTTTTAGTAAGTTTTTCAAGTAAGTAATCCTAGCCAAGCAATAAAATATATTCTTTCTATTGATCCGTTTCTACTATGATGATCTCTGATACTTATTTGATGGATTCGATGCGAGCGAAGCCGCGGAAAAAAGCTATAAAAAGTGATACAATAAATATGAAAGCTATAAGTATTACCATTTTTCATTATATCAAATATTATCAACTAACAACTTTGAAAATTAGTCATTTGTTACAAACTTGAATATAAAATTAATAAAATATAAAAAAAATCAACATATGTATTATATTTAATGTTTATTTGTGCTTAATAACCTATCGCAGAAAATTAGTATCATTCATTTTTAAATTTGGGAGTGATATATTGAATAGTTTATAATTAATGTATACCTTAGCCACAGCAACGCTAAGGGGTTTACATATAAAAGTTCGAATATTACATACAAATAATGGACAATAGAATTTTTATTTCCAAACATATTGTAAATATTAATTTGGCGGAAACTTTAGAATACCATCCCAGGATTTTGGGGATAAAATACCCAGATATTGAATTAAATGTGTACAAACAAATTTGTGAAGTGATAGTGGATATAAAAAAGAAAAACATATATGTAAAATACACTTTAAATCGAAAAAATATGTACTTTATGTAGTTCAAATTTTCAATTTCAAACGCAAATATCTCGAATACTATAAGTTTCCCGCGACTATATCTATATATACTCTTGGTGTGGAGGACCTCCTCCTATCCGCCCTTACCTATTTTATCCTTGAATGCCTGGGACGGTTTCTAAGGGCGACCCTCAATTTGAGACCGAGCGTAATTGCTGCCATGAAAAGAATTTCGAAATGAAAAGGAATGCCAAATTGTGTGGTGACCAACTGTTAGGAGCACCACGTGCATTCGAGCACGAGCGCCACAACTCCCATGTCAGCTGGTTCTACGTTGCCGAAATTGACCCGGATACTTTCGGCTAAGGGCTGTTATTTCGGCTTTCTAACTCTGTTTGGATCGGGAAGTCTTTGGTTTAGCACGAGCGGCACGGTTCCTTCGTCTTCGGTTTGGGCGACATAAAGAGTTCTCACGTGAACATAGTCTTAGGATTGACAGTAGCGGTCTCTAGAAAATATTCTGGCAACACTAGTTTTAGCTGGATATAAATTAATATAGCTGATTATTTGGCAATATTAGATTTTGTTTGATTTGTTATAATTTAAAAAAAAAAAATTGGAGTTTACTTTTTTGTTAAATCTCTAGCAGTTGTATTGTTAACTTAAAATATGTCGGGCATGGCTAACTTATCAATCGAAGAAAAAGAAGAACTTATTGGGCAGGTCAAGCAGCAAATTGCAGTGGCTAATGCTCAAGAATTGCTGACGGTGGAGGAGAACATGAGTTTTCTTTAAAAATTACACAATCAACATTCAAAGTTTTATGTTTTCAGAAAATGACAGAAAAATGCTTCAAAAAATGTGTTGCTAAACCAGGTGTACAATTGGATTCCTCTGAACAGGTGATATATAAAATATCTGCCAACCTAAATAAGTTTTTGTGATATAAACATTGTTGATAAGTCTTATCAACTTATTTGTACTTTTGAGTCTCATAAATTATTTCAATGTATATTGACATATGTTCTGTAATAACTATTGCTAATTTCAGAAATGTATTTCAATGTGCATGGATAGGTATATGGATTCCTGGAATTTGGTGTCACGCACCTACAGCAATCGTTTGCAACGTGAACAGAATAAGATTTAGAAGTGTGCAAATAGTAGTGTGTTCCACGATCTGCAATTTTACGTGTCATGAATCATGATTTTGTTTTATAAACAATATTTTAGGCAAAAGCTATTACTTTATCCTAAACTAAAAAATCAATTTTTTGTTATATGAATAAACTTTACAAATACATTAAATACAACAACAATTAAAATGTGTATATTCATAATTCGGCTTGGATGAATTAAATGAAGGAGCACGTGCCAGTAACAGAACAACAATACATTCACATTTTTTTTTTACTAACACTCCTCATTTTCGAACTGGCAGAGGAAGTTAAAGGATGGGGAAGGCGCAAATGTAAAATTAAATATTATTGAGTCCGAATTTGTAGTTGACACATTAGAGAACATAGAAAAACACAATTTTGAAGAGAAAAATACACCACAAAATGAATGGGATGGGGAAAAAAAGGTATCAATTGACACACAAAATGTTCTCATATGAATTATATATGTTATTGTTGTTGTAGTGGTTATCTAATCCTCGCTTGGGTGATAAGGTTCAAGCAGAGAACTTAAAACAATGAGAAGGTGCAAATTGAATTTTGTATGATGCTCGATTGGTTGGCTGAAAATTTGAGATCAAGGAGTTCACCACTTTCTGTATAGTTTTGCTGTTATTTAACAGAAATGAGAATTTTTAACAACGTTCTCTGACAAAATACGTATCTACCAATATAAAGAGAAAAATGAAATGAAATGAATGAGAAAACAAGAAATACAAATGCCACTTCACATATGCATGATTATTTTTCGCCATATAAACGATTTTTATGATGAAAAATTGATAAATTATTATTTTTTTGCACAAATGCTACATTGATAAAATGTGAAAGATTATGCAAAAAATGATATTTTACTATTTTCATAATTTTCTAATTTCAATTTTTACAGAATTAATAATTTATGTATGTACATCAATATGTTATATTATATAATATAATAATATACTATCAATTATCAATAAATACATGTGAGCGCACTGCTCTATATGTAAGTATGTATGTACAAATATGCATATGACCGCGCAAAATAAGTAATGCATACGCAAATCTACATACATTTAAGCGTACAAATGTAAGTACGTCAGCCAATAGGCAGAATACAAACATTGTTGTACAAAAATAACAATTGTCTCAAATAGCATGAGCACCAAAAATCAATATGGTAGCCAAATCCTAAATTTGTAGTAAATCACACACCAACAACATTTTCATTCATGAACGCTGGCGCCTATGCAATAAGCTAAGTCGTTTCATTAATAAAAGCAAACGCCTTACACAAGCGTCTTTTCGCGACGATGGCAAAAGCTAGAAATTCCCTCTAGAAGAGAAAAGTGACAACTCTGCAAACACAGAAATCAATGACAAAAGTGGCAACAAAGCTTTTGTCGATTTAAAATATTTCACAATTCTAAAATATTTTTCCGTGGCTGGCAAAAATCTTCGTCAATATGTATGCATGTTCATATAAAAACATACATACCTACAATGATTTGTTGGCAAAGCTGTTAGAGCGGCAAGGGAAGCGATGACAATCGGCGAGCGTTCGTTTATTTTTCAGCACATCTCGGATTTTCTACCAACAAAACAATGTTGTGACGCTTTGCGTCGCGTCAGTCCTTCGACAGATTGACTCTTTGACATAAAAGCAAAGAACGTGAGCTTCGATCATTGGCTGACCGTGTCAACGGAGATTTCACATGAAGTAATGAGTGTTCATATCTACATAAGTACATATGTTGTGTGTAGACAAATTTACAAATATTTTTACACACGATATGAAAATGCCGACGGCAAAACACAATTCTGTACTTTTATGACTCCATAATGGTGTCAAGCACTTGAATTATTTTAAGAAATATATCAAAATATGTTTAAATTATTATTAAGAACTCACAAGAAAGTAAAAATGAATTAATATAAAATAATTTAAAAATAATAATAAATAATAGTTCAATAAAAGGGAATATGTTTCAAATAGCATATCAATATTCCCAGTTTGGCATACATATATATTCTCTTCAATATTCGCCGTTTGGTTATGTTAAGAGAGCGTATGTTTACAGATTCACCGCTGTTATAAAAGCGAGAAATGTTATTTGTTTCTCGTGCATGTGTGGTGAACTCCTTGATAAATTCCTACAAATTGTTCGCTGTCGAACCTGCACCTTCTCATTGTTTTAAGTTCTCTGGTTCAAGTTGGTTGTCATCGAAGTCATTTAACGGGAGGTCCAGAAAACGCGTTTCTTGTTATAGTTGTAACGGTTATCTAGTCCCCGCTTGGGTAGAAAGTGATAGTTTGGTTGTCGTCGTGGTCATCTAACGGGATGCCCAAGAAACGAGCTGTTTCGACGGGTTCGGAACATAGGGAAATGGGTATTAGATGAGTGACATGTGGAGACTCATTGCATGCAGGACATATATTGGGTATGCCGGGGTCGATTCCATCTATTAACTGGGAGGCAGTAAGTAAAGGTGTTAACAGCTCCACTGTGAATAGCGTTTAGTCCTTGTCTGAAGTCAGTTCCGTCCGTAGTCTACGAATGTCCTATAAACAATTTCCACAATAGTTGGATGTACGTTACGGTATTGATCCAAATATCGTATTATCAACGGTGACATCGACCACATGGATATCAATTCCCACAACAGCCGGTTCTGCGATACCGGAATTGACCCGGATTTTATCCGGCCAAGGGCTGTTATTTTGGCGATCTAACCCTGTTTGGATCGGTAAGTTTTAGATTAAGTTTGTCGTCATTGGAGCAACGCCTAACAGCAGGGTTGCTCCGTATCCTCCTGACCCGTGCTGGCATCGAGTCCAACACGGGCCCCGAGGAATTCTACTGTTGCGTATGCGCAAAAAGGCTCCATCCAAATTCCACCTCGGTTAGGTGCAATACATGCAATGGATGGAGCCATCTTAAGACCTGTTCAGGCCTTAAGACACACAGGGAGTGGACCACGAGTTACGTGGCCCCATGCTGTCAACGCAATAATGCGACATCTGCCTCAACGGCTTTGTAACCTGCACCATGTTCGCGCACTGCGCTGCCACTCCAGTCGAGTGGCCAAGATAGGACCTCCACGGTCCCAAGGAGCTCACACAGACAGCATAACTCCCAATGTGACTACCGACCCAAGCTAAACAGCCACTCAGATCTTCTGAGTTGTGCAGGTTTCAACGTTTTACGTAAGGATCGCGAGCGGGATAATGGTGGAGGCCTAGCCTTCATATTGCACATCACCGTGCAATATCGTCTAATCGATGTTGACATCGATCGCAGGTACACCACCCTAGAATGTCAGGGTATAGCTGTCCGGTCAGGCGATGTCGAGCTCGAAATATTTAATATATACATCCCCCCAGTTACATGTTGCCCAACAGGATATCACCCGAATATAGATGCGCTACTTCATGGTGAAAACCGTTTGGTGCTAGGCGACTTTAACGCGCATCACGATCTTTGGCATTCCTGCCTGTCAAACGATCGTAGGGGGATGGAGCTGGCGGAACAGATAGACGATTCGACATTCTGCACAATGAATGACGAAGCCCCCACCAGAATTATGGGCACCTGCAATAGCTCGCCAGATATTACCATCGCTAGCGGTGGTCTGATAAATAGTATAACCTGGCGACCTATGCTAACTCTCGCATCAGACCATCTGCCCATAATTTCGATCGAGAAACCTCCTGACTTTATTTCTGTGGACAACCGCACTTTTGTTAACTTTATCAAAGCTAACTGGGTCGGCTTCACAGAATTTACCGAGAGCACCTTCAACGCACTACCCGTTCCTACGGACGTCACCGTTGGCGAGCGTCAATTCCACAAGGTCATCGCTGCTGCTACTGCTCGCTTCATACCGGCTGGAAGAATTGCGGAACTTTGCCCAAATTTCCCGGCCGAAGCAGCAGTATTAGCAAACGAGCGCGACACCTTACGCCATGCCGATCCCTGTGATCCCCGAATAAGGGATCTCAATTTGGAGATTCGGCAAATGGTAAATCATCATAAGCGGACAAAATGGATAGAGCACCTGAAGTCCTGCAACCTCTCCACCGGTGTGAGTAAGCTTTGGACTACTGTCAAGGCCCTGTCAAATCCGAGGACACATGACGATCGGGTTGAAATTCAATTCGATGTCCATGCCTGCTTGGACCCGAAGAAGTGCGAGAGCTACTTTAGCCGGCAGTTTATACTGCACCCTTCGACCGACAAGGCCAAACGATGTGTTACCCGACGGCTGCGCAAAATGCCAAAAGACTGCGCACCACTTACTTTCACCGATGGGGAGGTTCAGAGTGTCATCAAAAAGGCGAAATCGGTTAAATCCATTGGCCCTGACGGAATAAGCATGCTGATGCTAAAACACCTAACCCCAACGGGAGTAAACTATCTCACCAAGGTCCTCAACCTGTCGATATCCACTCTTCAAATACCCGATGTGTGGAAAGTCGGAAGAGTGGTCCCACTGCTGAAACCTGGGAAACCCGCCAACAAAGGGGAGTCTTATCGCCCGATAACTCTTCTTTCCCCAGTAGTGAAGACACTTGAGGCCTTGTTACTCCCGTTATTCACCCACCACCTGAGCCTAGCAGATCATCAGCATGGCTTTCGTAAAGTGCACAGTACCACCACAGCACTTAGCGTCATAAACGCCCAGATAGTTCATGGCCTGAACCAGAAGCCACCCTGCGAGAGGACGATCCTCGTAGCGTTGGACTTGTCAAAAGCTTTTGACACAGTCAATCACGCAACGCTACTTGAGGACCTGGAACAAGCAACGCTCCCTCCAGGGCTGAAGCGGTGGACTATGAACTACCTGAGCGGTCGGCATTCATCCGCACCGTTTCGAGGTCAAAACTCCAAAGTCAGGAAAATTAAACAGGGGGTTCCGCAGGGCGGTGTCCTCTCCCCGCTACTGTTTAATTTCTATATTTCAAAACTCCCCCAGCCACCAGCGGGAATTTCAATGACCTCGTACGCTGAGGACTGTACGATTTTGACGTCGGGCAATGGAATCGATGGCATGTGTTCAAAAGTAAACGGCTACCTCTCCGATCTTTCTCGCTTCTTCTCTGCAAGGAACCTAACACTCTCCCCCACCAAATCCACAGCGACCATCTTCACAAATTGGACGAA